TTACTATGAGTCAGACACCTTTGCAGGTAGCTTATATTTATCAGCCTATATAATCTTTACAAAAGCATGTGAATAATGTCAGCAGGAATGATGGGACAAAATATTCTGAAAATCTCCTCCTCCTTAAAAGCAAGAAAAGCATTGGGAAACTTGAGAACTCTAGAAATTAGCCAAAGTAACATAACAACTTGAACATTTATTCAAGAAAAATGGCTGAATCTTGGTAATTATGAACAGTAAAGTGTGGACCATTTTAACTTCCTATCCTACTCCTCCAGTTCTAGATCCACAATAACCTTAAAAACCAACAGTCTTATAATCACAATGAAAACCAGCAGTTACGGCAATAGGCCATATTAATAGAACAAAGGATCATCACAATGGAGGTAGAAAAAGCATTTGGCAAACTTCAACACCATTTCATGATTAAAAATAAAAGCATTCTTAAAAACAAATTAAGAATAGGGCCTCCCTGGTGGCACAGCGGTTGAGCGCTGGGTTGCGAAGCTGCCTGCAGCCTCTGCGCCGCCGGTTCGATCCCTGGCTGCTCCCCGGCCACCGGAGGAGGGTCCCACATGGCGTGCAGACCTCTCCTGCCGCCCGCTGCTCCCCTCAGCAGTGTACTTCGGTCCTTCTGTCTGCTCTGCTCCCAGCTCTGGCTCTGGTGAATTCTCTCACCCTCCCGCACTTCTGACTGTACCCAGTGCTTGTATAAACAAACAAACAAATAAATAAATAAATAAAATGTCCCAAGTCTAGTGCCTCTTTAAAAAAAAAAAAAAAATTAAGAATATACGGAACCTCTTCAAACCTGATAAAGGGCACTTATAAAAATCACAGCTGATATCATACATATTGGTGAAAGGCCAGAAACGTTCCTGGTAAGTCCAAAAGCAAGACAAAAGGGCAGCTCTCACCAATTCTATTCAATATTGACCAGAGTTCTAGTGAGACAACTACGTAAGACAAAGAAACAAAGTCATCCAGATTGGAAAAGAGGAAGTAGCAGTTGCTCTATTTGTAGATGTCATGATTTTATATATTTAGATAATCCCAAGGAATGTGCAAAAAAAAAAAAAGAGTAAAGCGGGCTTCCCCTGGTGGCGCAGCGGTTGAGCGCTGGCTTGTGAAGCTGCCTGCAGCCTCTGCAGCGCCGGTTTGATCCCTGGCCAAATGGGCAAGGATCCCACATGGCGCTACAGACCTCTCCTGCCATGTCCGCTGCTCCCCTCAGCAGTGTATTTCCTCGGTCTGCCTGTACTGTTCCCCACTCTGGCTCTGATGAATTCTCTCACCCTCCCACGCTTTTGACTGTACCCAGTGCTTGTATAAATAAATAAATCTTAAAAAAAAAAAGAGTAAAGCTATTATTACAAATAATAAACAAGTTCAACAACATTGTAGGGACAAGATCAATATACAAAGTCAATTGTGTTTCAATATGCTGATAGTAAAAAATCTGAAAATTAAGTTTTAAAAAATCTATAATAACATTCAAAATATTTTAAATGCTTAAGAAATTTAACAAAAGAGCTCAAGACATACAGTGAAAACTGCAAAATGAAAAAAAAAAAAAGAAGTATATCTAAATACAAAACCATCCCCTATTCATGGACTGCTAGGCAATATTGTAAAAAAGCACAATATTTCCAAAATGATCTACAGATTCAATGCAATGTAACCTCTATTAAAATCTCAGCTGACAGTTTCTTTTTGCTTTTGCTTTTTTGAAGTAATTGTCAAGCTTACCCTAAAATTCAAATGTAGTGCAAAAGACCAGAATAGCCAAAACAATCTTGAAAAAGAATAACAAGGTTGGAAGACTCCCACTTAGTAATGTCAAGATTTACTACATAGCTACAGTAATCAACATCATGTAGTACCAACATAACAATAAACATAGAGATCAAATGGAATGTAATTGAGAAAAAAATAAGTCATTAAATTTATGAGATTTTAAAAAGGGTGCCAAGATAATTCAATGGCAGTCTTTTCAACAAATGGTACTGAGACAGCTGGATAAAACACATGAAAAAGAATAAAGTTTTATGTTTAGGACACCATATGCAAAATTAATGCAAAATGAAGCAAAAACCTAAATTTAAAAGCCAAAGATATAAAAACATTTAAAAGAAAAGAGGAAAATTTGCATGACCTGGTATGTGATTTCCTAAAGCTGAGAGTAAAAGCATAAATAGCAAATGAAAAAATCAATATATTGAACTTCATAAAAATGTAAGAATTTTATGCTTCAATAGACAGTATCAATAACATCTAAAGACCACAGGATGGGAGTAAATAATTGCAAAATACAGATTAATATGGGTCTAGTATCCAGAACACATAAAGAACACTTAAAATTCAACAGTAAAAAGACAACCCATTTTTTAAATGGATCAAAGATTTGAATGGACAGTTGTCAAAAATAGATAAATGCAAGTCTAGTAAGCATATGAAAATATGCTCTTATCATTTGTCATGAAGAATATGCAAATCAAAACCATGATGATGTCACATTTACTAGGATAGTTATAACCAAAAAGACAGAAAATAAGTGTTAACAAAGATATGGAAAATTGGAACTCTCATATGTTACTAGTAGAAATGCAAAATGGTACATCTGCTTTGAAAAACACTCTAGTTTCTCAAGAAGCTGAAAGTTGAGTTGGTAGTTCCACACCTAGGAATAATTAAGAGAACTTAGTGCATATGTCCACACAAACATTTGTACATAATGTCCATACATTAACAAGCCTTAAAAATTACTGAATATAGCTATTAAATTAAAAAAATACCCAAATACTGAAAATAACTCAAATACTCATCAACTGATGACTGCATAAACAAAATGTGACCTCTCCATACAGTGGAATATATATCAGCCATGAGAAGGAATGAAATACTAATATACACTATATCATGGATGAGCTTTGAAAATATTGTGCTGAATGAATAAAAGCAGACACAAACGGTCATATATTGTATGACTTATACGCACTGTTCAGAACAGACAAATCCATAGAGACAAAAAGTGTATTAGTGTTTCCAGAAGCTGGGGCAGAGTGGGGACCTTGGAATGGAATGACTGTTGATGGAGACAGGGTTTCCTTGGGAGGTGACGAACCTGTGCTGGAATTACATAATGGTGGCACTTCACACCAGTGTAAATATACTAAAAACCACTGACTTATACACTTTTTAAATGACAAGTTAAAAATGCATCAAAACTTACACACACAAACACAAACTGTACATGGCATCATTCTCTATTGAGAGAAATGCTAACTCTTTAAAGGGTGGGGAAATTATATGAAGTCCTATGATTAACCCTACTTCATAGATGATAAAATGGAGGTATTAAGGATTAAGTAGTTTACTTTTAAGCCACACAATTAGTGAGTGGTAGGATTGGGATTCAATTCTAGAAATACTATTAACTGCAGAGTCCAAACTTCAACCACTAAGGCATGTGAAACTTATGCAAAGTTCTCCTTGTTAACAAAAGTTCAAATACCAAACCAAACAAATGGTATTTGCTTCCTTTTTAGCTGGAAATGATGATATAAAATAGTTGTCATTTTTGCAAATGAGGTGATGTACCCAGATATTCTCTAGGATGTAGAGACATGTAATAAATGACATGTAACAAAATCTACAGGTATCTTTGCAGAAATCGCCTCTTGTTGGATCATTTGTAAACTTGTTCCATCTTTGCAAGATATAGAAACTTCTGTAATGAAAACAGGATTGGGCTCTTGCCTGCAGAATCATTACCAGTGTGGACTTGTCATTTTCTGTTTCACAGTATGCCTTAACATCTCGGTATTTAATTTAGTTTTCTATAATGTAGGGATTATAATAGCACCCCCTTAGAAGATTAATATGATGACGAAGCACTTAAACTAATTCACTAAATATGTATGCTTAGGCCAGTGCCAGGAACATAATGATTATTCATAAATGTTCACTATTATAGTTGTAATCTATGAGCACACTGATACTATGAGCAAATTATCACTTTTCCCCATAATTCTTGGAGTCAGTAATAGAAATGCATTGACTTTTAAGTAAATGAGAGTATGGTCAATGTTCACAAGTCACTATGATTGAGGCAAGAATAGGTAATAACTCATGGACGTAGGGATGATGAACAGCAAACTACCAGAGTGATATGGGGTTGTGGAGGAGATTTGTCATTGACTAAAGAGTAATATCTTCCTTGTCTCACTTTTACTACATAAATGAAAATGTCTACTAATAGTCACACTAGAATGACGCTCATTCTTCAAGCTCAACCATAGGTGAGCTTCAGACACAAGAGCTCAGTAAATATCGGTAAAAATATTTCATGAGAATCAACTGGCTACATGGAATTTATAGTAAGGAATGTCCTTTATTTTATAATTAGTAAATTGCCTGGCATAAGCCGAGGCACAAACAAGTCACACAGTTTTTTCAGAGAGTTGACTGTTAAATATTTACAACATGAAACCTTATAGTCTAGTGCAGAAGAAACAATCTGGAAAGTAATGAATAAAAAAAGGCAGGAGGAAAGAATAGAAGCCTTAGTTCATAAGGGAAGCTCATGTGCTCATCCTGTGGCGACAATCAGAAGTACGGAAAACCTAAGGCTCAGAGGAATTAAGAGAATGCCTCCGTTCCTCCAGTTAGCTAGCAAAATCACTCACACCAGTACTCAATGGCCTTTCTCTCAGCAGCCCACAGCAGACTTTTCCTTTTGTTTATGTGCAGCATACACGCTATCAGACTCATTTTAGAGCAGGTTCACTGAGGTGCTGAGAAGAAGCCTGTGATTCATCGTCAATGAACTGACAAAGCCAACAAGAAACATCTCTCCAAATCACTACTCCATGCCATCTGCCATGTGTCTGTGATTCTTCACCAGGAATCCTTTAATAACTGCACACCTGAGCAGAAGGGAGGGAACTGCAGTACACCTCAACAGAGGACAGGGACATACTCTTCCGACGCACACGTACCTGAGGCAGAGCTTCATTGGAGGATGACTTGCTGTGTTGTTGCCACTCCTCCTAAATAAAAATGGAATCAGTAACTTGGGTGAAACAAGAAGAAATTATAAAGCCAAAAACTATACATAAATTGTCTCTAAAATAAACTTATCTTAAAGACAAGCTTAATAACTGACCCTTGAAAGCTGACTACAGCACTAAAGCTTCCAGAGGGGAGAGGAGGAAGTAGGGGTAAGAACAAAGAGGGAAGGAAGCACAACAGACCATGGTGGTGGACTGTGGGTGCTTTGGTGGTGGGTGTGCTGTGGTAGTAATATCTGATGGGGGATTCTTAATATTATCTCAATTAAAAACAAAATAAACCTATTTTGTTCCTGAGAAATAGCCCTGATTACCAGTGATGGTGGTTTAGATCAGCAATCTGCAAACTTTTTTTGTAAAGGAACAGTTAGCAATATTTTAAGCTTTGTTGGCCTTATAAAACCTGTTTTGGTATTACTCTGTTCTGCTCTTGTAACATAGACAAAATTCATGGAGGCTGTCATGTTCCAATACAGCTCCATTTACAAAAACAGGTGGTGGGTCAGATTTAGTTTGCAGTTATAGGTTGTGAAGTCCTAGCCGAGACTAACGGCCTCCAAGATGGAGCTGACAAGGCATCTACTGAGTTCTGGGGAGAAGACATTAGGATTGTACTATGTTTATTTTTACCTTGACTGCAAGAGAGAAATTAAATTTTACACTTTGAACACATGCATTGCCTTGTGCTCTCTGTCCCTTCATGCATTTTACCAGAATATCCTGATGGGAGAGAGAGAATTCCATAAAGGGAGATAATGACAATGACACCTACAGTCCCTCTTGCATTACATTTCTACACCTTGCAGGTTGTAGGTACCTGGTTCCCAGATTTACAGACTATAGTTATCTGTAATAATCTAACACCTGCAGGCTTCCCTGGTGGCACAAGGGGTTAAGTCTCAGCACTATGAAGTTATCAGCAGCCACTGCAGCACAAGTTCCATCCCCAGCCAGCGAGCTAACCCACATGGTGAAGCAGACCACTCCTGTCTCACCTGCTACTCCCCTCAGCAATGTATTTCAGTCAGTCCACCTGTTCTGCTCCCCACTCTTTCTCTGGTAAATCATCTCACCCCCCAGCCCAACCCTGTACCTCTGGTTTACACCCCAGCTCTTCTATACATAAACAAAACAAATCTTTAAAAATAAACTAACACCTGCAAAGTGGTAAAATGACTTAAAATCACTGCTATACCAAAGATTAAAGATAATGTTAGTAATACAAACACAAATAGTAAAAAAAATACGGCAGAACCAACTCTTCTCTTTATTAGCCACTGTGTATGGCAAAAAGCAAAATAGAGTGTGATCAGATCTGAGAAATTGGCCAAATAAACTAGAAACATTAAGATTATTATTTACTATATGTTACATATTTATTATTTATTATGTATTTGTTATATTATTACATATATATTATTTATGTTTATATCCATTGTCATTTAGGATGAACCTTAACTTGGAATTTTACCTTGGGGTTTTATATCAAGTCATTTTAAAATACTGTTTATTTCATTCTTATCTTTTTTTTTTAAGATTTATTTTTATTTATTTATTTTATTTGTTTATTTATACAAGCACTAGGTACAGTCAGAAGCGGGGGAGGGTGAGAGAATTCACCAGAGCCAGAGCGGGGATCAGAGCAGGCAGACAGAAGTACACTGCTGAGGGGAGTAGCAGGCGGCAGGAGAGGTCTGCACGCCATGTGGGTCCCTCCTCCATTGGCTGGGATGCAGCCAGGGATCAAACCGGCGCTGCAGAGGCTGCGGGCAGCTTCGCAACCCAGCGCTCAACCTCTGCGCCACCGGGGAGGCCCTCATTCTTATTTATCTTTATCTCATTCCTCTTTAATGTTTATTTTTGTATAAATTACACAATATAATTACCATATTGACATATGAGTGAATAAATTAATTAGCATATGCAAGTATATACAGGGTGCATGTCCTGCCCCCTAGTTTTACAAGTTGAGGGCAGAGGAACAATTAAAAAAATGGAGGTTACAGCTTTAAACCAATATTCCAAAATAACAACTCTTACTGATCTTTGGAGTTAATATAAAAGGTCTAATAGCTATATAAATTTCAAATCATGAAAGAAATATGACTATTTCAAACTCAATCCTGATGCCACAGTAGTTCTCCATAGTGTGTTCTTGCCATCAGTGTAGTCTATAAAGTATAATACCAAAGTGGTAGGGGTTTAGGATAGGTTTTTGTTACAGGGCAAACCCCAATATTAAATGTGGTTTCTTGACTGGGTCCTCACCTGCGCACTTAAAGGGGACTTATTAATGCTAAACTGCAGACACACACAAAAGGTTGATAAAAGGTTTATTTACAAGGGAAGGGGAAATGGGAAATGAATAACTCAGGGAGAAAAAGAGGGAGATAAGTTCATAAAAGTGTCCTACCCATTCTGCTGACCTGGAATCCCAATGATGCGCTGAGCTGGCAAAAACCTAGCACTCCTAGTGGCTAAAAAGGGGCAACCCCTGGCCACATGGCCAGTTAAATACCCAAACCCAGAGCCTAATTGCTTAACTCCACCCTCAGATCCTCAAAACCTACCCTTTGGTGATCATGGGATTTGTAGTTCCCAGTGTTGTGGGGGCGGAGTCCACAAAGCCTGTATGGAGTTTGCTCAGGACATCTTTCACCCCTATCAGTTTGATGTCTATAGTCTTCTCATTTATGTGAAGTTTTTCTGACATTTGCGGGGGTGCCCCTGAGCAGAATCCAAAAAGAAGTTCCTATGGCACATTTGCTTCAGTTTGAATCCCAAAAATACTCAGAAAATCTCTCAGGAGGGATGGATACGCAAGTAGCAATCAGTTCTACATTGCCAGTGTCTGCTTGTTGATTCCAACATGCTACTGGAGAATCCATACTCCTGGCTTAGTTAGGAAGAGACTTCACAAATTGTTGTAGTAGGGCCTCCCCGGTGGCGCAGCGGTTGAGCTGGGTTGCGAAGCTGCCCGAGGCTTCTGCGGCGCCGGTTCGATCCCCGGCTGCTCCCCGGCCACCGGAGGAGGGTCCCACATGGCGCGCAGACTTCTCCTGCCGCCCGCTGCTCCCCTCAGCAGTGTACTTTGGTCCTTCTGCCTGCTCTGCTCCCCGCTCTGGCTCTGGTGAATTCTCCCACCCTCCCGTGCTTCTGACTGTACCCAGTGCTTGTATAAACAAAACAAACAAACAAACAAATAAATAAAAAACATGCCTCTATTAAAAAAAAAATTGTTGTAGTCCCTTTATCTGTGTCGCTTGGTGGCATACTAAACGGAGTAGGTCTATTTGCCTAGTTTCTTCTTATATACTATAAGGATATCTGTGCTTGACCTATAGCTCACAAGTGAAGTGAGCCCATAATTAAATCGATGTGTTTTAATAGTGTTACATGAGCTCTAACAATATGATTTAAAAATAGAAGGCATTATCTTCATAGAAAGGTAGTTCTGATTGTATTAAATTGATACAATTTTCACAGAAAATTGAAGATTTGAAAGCAATTGAAGATTATTAACCTAAATGTTTTTTTTTGCTAAATCTGCTTCATTTTCAAAAGAAACTTAATATTAAGGAAAGAGGACAAACTTGAAGTCAGTGAAGTAGAAAGACAATGCGCATGCACTGTAAATTGGCATAATCTTTTCTGGAAGGTAACCTGGCATTGCACAGAACAGCCCTTTATAACATTTATACTATTGTCCCAGTGATCTTCTCCTCAGGGATTGTTCATTATAAATAAATAATTCAACAGAGGAAAAAGGCTAAATGGGTGAAGGAGTTAGTAGTAATGCACAGTAGTCAATTTAGCTGACTGCTCTAACATAGTAAAATGGATGAGAAAATTTTGATACAATTGGAAAGAATAATGTGAGATTCACTATCGGTTCTGACTTGCAAACACATCTACAGACAGCACAGTTTCTCTGGTCCCAGAAAGGGCATCTTTCCTAAAGCAAAGCACCACGTTCTACCAACAGTCCCTCTGTCTCTCATCTCCTAGAATCTATCAATATTATTGGTAGGCATCACAGTGATTTTTCTGAAGGTGAAGTCTCAGCTTACCATTGCTTTTACAAAAGTTCTTTAATTACTCCCCATTTCTCTTAATTTCTAAACCCCTTTACTTGGCAAACATTTTTCACAACTACCAACATATTTTCTATATTCTTTATTTTCTATATTCTTCATGCTTTAGCATCTGAGACATTGCTGATTCTGGAATGCCTGCTCCTCCCAGGCCTACTAAGTTCCCAGAGATAGAAAATGGCTCCTCTTGGAGCGTGCCCATGCTCAAACTGTTAGGGGAAAGGATGTCCTGAGCAAACTCCATACAGGCTTTGTGGATGCCACCCACACTCCATGACACTAGGAACTACAAATCCCATATTCCCCAAAGGGAGCTTGTGAGGATCTAAGGGTGGAGCTAAGCAGCCATTTTTTCTGGCTTAGGTTTATAACCAGCCATGTTAGCGGGGTCTCACTCTCTTGGCTCTTGCTCTTGGCAAGGCAAGTTTGGTCTCGGCAGGTCATTTGGGATTCCAGGTCAGCCAAACAGGTAGGACACATTTAAAAATTTATCTCCCTCTTTTCTCCCTGGGATTCCAGGTCAGCCAAACGGGTAGGATGCATTTAAAAATTTATCTCCCTGTATTTTTCCGCATTTCCCCTTCCCTTGTAAATAAACCTTTTGTTAACCTTTTGTGTGTACCTGCAGTTTAAGTCCCTTTTAAGTGCACAGGTGAGGACCCATGGTCAGGCAACCTGTTTTATATCGGGGTTGCCCTGTAACAAAACTACCTCTGCTATCTGACTCTCACAGATTGAGTCAATATTCCACTGACCTAACCACCTTCATGGTACCAGGCACCAGACAACTTGGGAAAGCCCCTGCACCTCAGAATCCAGTGAAATTATTCAAACTAGTCAAACCTGCCCAGCCTACTAACCTTGTCTTGCCCATTCCTCCTCACA